GAATCTCAGACCTACTTTAGACCTACTGAATCCAAATTGGCGTCTTCACAGGATCCCCAAGTGGATAGTATGTGCATTAAAGTTTGAGAAGCACTAGTCCAAATCATTGATTGTTAACCTGCATATTGGGAGGACCTGGGGACTTCTAACAAGTGCCGATTTCCTGGTGCCACCGCCTAGAAATTGTGCTTGAATTATGGGGTGTAGCCCAGGCATTGGGAATTTTAAAAACTCCCCAGATAAATGTGCAACCACCATTGATAAACCCTAAACTATTAGGTTGCTCTGCATTCTTGACAAAAGGGAGCCCAGGAGGAGGTTGCAGCTCATTCTGTTAATCAATCTGCAAGCCAGGTGGCAGGTTTGTCCTTTGTAAACATTTGTAGTGCCTAGACTAGAGTCCGATTGGCCAGAGCTCACTGGTGACTTTCTGCCAACAAGTTGCATGTCGGGAGGTGACCGTCAGCCGGCCCCTGCTTTGGTTAGCTGTGTGACATGCTGGAGTGCTTCAGCCACATTTTTCAGGGCTCCTCCGACAGGATCAAGTGGACTAAGGCATGATATTGGGGTCTGGGCAAGTCTTCCCTCCTCAGACCTGCCCTGGGGCCTTGGTGTCCCTCTCTTTGGCTTTCTTCCAAGTGTGTGAGGTACAGCCACTGGTGGTTTCACCCAAGGATGGTGACAAATGTGTGTGATCTTAATTCAGAAGCTTTCCTGGTCAGGGCATTGGAGCAGCTCAGTGGTTGAGTGTCTGCCTTTGGCTCAGGTCATGATCCTGGGGTCCTGGGATCGAGTCCCACATTGGGCTCCCCACAGGGAGCCTGCTTCTCCCTCTGCCTGTGTCTCTGACTCTCTCTGTGTGTCCCGCATAAATAAATCAATCTATCTATCTATCTATCTATCTATCTATCTCTCTTTAAAAAGAAGATTTCCTGATCATATTGTCCCTCAAGGTCTCTGAGACCAGTCCATAGAATCACCATAATAATTATAACCACCAGCAGTTATGTGGCTCTTTACACCTCGCCAAGATTTTCCTGTGTGTCAAGAGACTGAGACCCAGAGTTTTTTATAACCAGAGGGCCACTTAAGTCTCCGCAGGCCCGTTTGCTCTCTTCCCCCTTTCCTGAGATAGCTCTGAGAACCTGACATAGTGCAGAATGTAGAGGTAGGAGGACAGCACAACTACAGCTCTATGTATTCATTCCTTCAAAGGAAAAACATCATTTGTTTTTTTATGAGGAAGAATACCATATTTTACTCAAATATCTGCCTGGTGATGAGGCATCCGGAAACCATTTTGAGGACTTGGTCATAGAAGAGTGACCATTCTATGTCAGAAATATCATTCTTTCCATGCTCTTGACTCTTTTTAAAGTACTTTCCTCTGCTTTTGTGCCAGTAGAGTTATTTCTAATTGTCATTGTTCTGGAAACTTTCATCTACATGCTGATCTTTCACTCTTTCCCACTGCAAACTCCTGCCTCATTCAGAAGCTGCCCCCTCAACCTGCTTATACTGTCCATTACTCATCACTATTGGAATCTCAAAATCCGCTAGGGTGGTCATCATCTTGGGTTACATCTCTGTTTCCGGTGTGATTATTAACAGTGTCCCAGGTTTGAAAAGAATTTAAATGGTCACTCTCACATGTTCCAGTATTTTGGCCTCACTGCCTCTCTCCTCAGTGGTCAGCTGCTATCTCATTGTCCTGCTTTCACGCACCTCCTGCCATCCTCCTTGGGGACATCCGCTCCACCCTGATGACATGCTGGCCTTGCACATCACTGACCAGCTGCCCCTCCATTCTGCTTCTGTCACTCACAAGGGCCATCTTGCCTCACACTTCACATCGCTCTTCAGTAGATGTTGGTTGGGAGCCCCCTGGGAGCCAGGCACTGCCTTCACTGTAAGTGCTGGTTCTTGAATGACCCCTGCTTCCTGCTTTCCCTCTTCCCTTCCTTCATGCTTAGTGATCCTGCTTCTGACCTTTCTCATTGCCTTGGTTCGTCTCTCATTGTCTCTTTTTAGGCTACCTGGTTCATCTTGGTCCCACTTGTTTTTAAATCTGGCCTAGCACTCCTGCTGGCATTTCTGCATCATATTGATTCGCTGTCTGCTTCTCCCACTAGGCTCTGAGCTCGGGAGCCCTGCAAGGACATTATGATTTTCTGTTTACCCCTGAATTCCTCTGCTATCCTGCATGTTTTCAGTCCTCAGTAAATAAATTTGCTGCTCCTTTACATTTCCAGAAGCACAGCCCTCATATGAATAATTGTCTCTTCGTCTCTGCCATCAAAAGGCTTGTTCTTTTGCCTGGTTTGTCAGAAAGGATGTATTTCCACTTCTCATTTTGCTATCAGAATTGTTCCCATTTCCCTTAAATTAGCTTCTCTTGCCAGGGGGTAAGAAGCGCCCTGCTCCAGATGCCTTGACCCTGAGCTGGTTTCTACCCTGCAGTGGGGCTCCCCCTTTCACTTTCCTCCATGTCCTGGGGCACACTGGCTGTTTTCTTTTAGGAATGTGCTTATCTCATCCATGAGCCTTGTATTTGTCTTCATACCAATCAGAACAGTAAGACAGATTGTACTCTACCTTCCCTCTCTTACCTTGAGTTACACAATGATTAGTACTGTTAATGTTTTCCTTAAAAAGCTGAGTATAGACAAGCCATCTAAGCCATTCTCCACTGATGGGAGATCTAATAAATATGTCGTTTGCATACTTTTCCCCTGTAGGCATATATGAGTTCTCCAGTTATTCTGGATAGGCTTCTGCAAATTTTCTTCATTGTTTTTCTCACACATAAAGGAAAAGGCTTCGTTACAATGATTCAACCCAATGATTGGGTTGCTCCTTGCCTAAGATAAGGCAAGGCATGGATATGCACCAGTCAGAAAGTTTGGAAGGAAGCTTTTGGAAAGAAATGTAGCACCCAACAATATTTGAGTGCCTTTTGTGGATGTAATTCTGTATCAGGTGCTTTGAAATGAATGTGCAAGGAAGTTCAGTCCTCACATAAGCAATCCCTTTGCGCATGATTTAAGATTGTTTGAAAAGCTGTGAATGATTATCTCTGCTTTGGTACCAGAGCTCTTGGTTGATACCTGTTAGCCATAAGGACCTTGTATAATATTGTATGTGGGTCTCTCACATAAATCTCTAAGCTCCCTGGAGTTAAGGATCATGTTCTTTGTGTGTTTAACGTCTGGTGCCTACAAAAGGAACTTAAATATACTTTACATTTCATAGATCTTTGTTGAATATCGTGAAGTGCAAATTAACACAGTTGTGAGTATTCCAAGAAAAGATAAAGCACTCATCATTATCACTTTCCTAAAGGTGAGTTTCAAGCTGGGTTTGAAGAGAAGAAGGACTTGTCTGGAAAAAGAGGAGGGAAAAAAAGGTGCCAGGCATTTCCTTAAAAGCAGAGCCTTCTGAATTGAAAGGTTTAATTTCTAAGGATTAAAAGTAAAAGAATGCCATCCCCCCACCCCTTCACAACATTTCCTGGTATTGTTGATGACAAGATTTCTCAGAGTTGGAAGAACAGCAGGAGCCACCACTGCCCCCATTCATGAATCCCGTCTGTGGGGACTGATGCTGGATTGTTTAGGGAGTGATGTGACATCAGCAGGACCAGAATACTTACCTGGGCTTCTCTTTGTCATTTTCCAAGAAAGACAAGCATTCTCTCATGTTGTCTTTTGAACCTAGGTTTGTTCTGGGTAAATCTGAACTTGATGCTTCAAATGTCTGTTTTTTGGTGTTGGTCAGGACTAGAATTTACCATCTCTGCTTGAGCCCTCCTGGCCCCTTCCCTGCCCCCCCCCCCCGGTGCTGTAGAGGACCGGGAGTGCCTCTCCGTGGGCCCTGAACATGATCTCCTCACTTTGTTGAGCATGCCCCGCTTCTGACGTACCTTAAAAAGACCTATGTGTTTCTAGCACTTTTTGGAAAGCCTTTGCTCATTTTAGGCTCTACAGGAATTAGTGATCACAGTCTGAGAACTGGGTTTTTACTCAAGGATGTGTACTCAACAGCAGTATACTCTGTACATCCACCGGGCAGGAAGAAATGCCCAAGGGAGGAGGTTTGCGGTAGGCCAGGTGAGTCTTGGATTAGGCTGGTAGATGTGGAACTGGAGCTGGAGGACAAATATGAGATATATTATAAAGCTAGAGCAAATTGGCCTTCTAACTAATTGGATGTGGAGTAAAATAGAAATGATTTTGTGGTCTGAGATTAAAGGCCCTGGAGAACCATGAGGCTGTTAGGCTCAGAACGGAAGCTTGGCACAGGCCAAGCTCTCCGGCTCTCTCTCTGGCACCTGGCATAAAATAGACGCTCAATAAACATTTGACGAGTGAATGAACAGAATAGGGATTATTTGAAAGGAAGCCGGTTTGATCTAGAAGAATGAGTAGATATATTCTTTCATTTAGTAAGCAAACATGGAGTTCTGTGAGGTGGGGGAAGGGCTTTTCATGATGACAACTGTGCCCCATCACCACTGAGAGGAGAAGGTGAGGAAGAACAATGCGTTCACGAGCTTTCCAAAAGTGTGATTTTTCTTATGCTTGGCCAATTGTCGCAAAGCCCTTTTTAATTTCCACAAGCTTTGTGATAGGGCAACCAAAGAGAACATTTGTGCGTGTGGTATTTTCTAAAGCACGTTTTACAGTTAACGAAATCATTTTATTTCAGCAAAATTCAGACGAAGAAAATACATATCCTCCCATCTTTAAAGAAAAGAAGATCATATTGATTCAGGGCATCTGACGGCAGCCCTGGGTTTTGAGTCCCAGCCAGCAGCTCCAGCACACTTGTGCTTTTGTTCCTCCATCTGACTTGGAGATTTGTGCTGACTTCGTCTCAGTAACCACTGTTGCACTGATAGCGGCCTCCAGGAAAGGGCCTCCATTCTCTCTGAGAGTGGTGGCAGGCCTCCTCGGAGGGTGCTTGCCCCATTTCTCACTCTCTTCTCCCTGTTTTCCTAGGATTGCATCGACGTGGGCTGGTGGGAAGGAGAGCTCAATGGCAGACGAGGAGTTTTCCCTGACAACTTCGTGAAGTTACTTCCACCTGACTTTGAAAAGGAGGGCAATGTAAGTCTTCTGGCCTTGATGTCAGTGCTCCACACGCTCTCGAATTTGTGGCTTCCATGATGGGTGTTGGGATACCGGGTGAGGGGAGTTTAGCGGACCACTGAAGAGCACTGGCGTTTTCGTTCAGTGGACCTGGTTTCTGGGCCCTCGGCCATCCTGTAGGCTGGGTGTGAGGGTGAACGAGTTCATTACCTGACAAGCCTCAGTTTCCTCATCTGACAGCTGGTCACAGTGACCCTTATACTGGTGTTGTTGCATGAATAAGATAATGTGTGTAAAGCACTCATTGCAGTACCTGGAACATATAAGCACCCAAATGAGAAGAACTCTTGGGTGTCCCATTTGGTAAGCAGACCGCCTCATCCTGTGTGGTATGTCCTTGGGGGGCAGTGGGTGGAATGCCTAATATTGTGGAAGTGGCTCCAAAGCACATTGTGAAGCCGAGGATGCAGTGAGGCCACTGATGTTCCTACGCTGTGTGTGCACAAACACGGACATGTATACAGACATACACACACGTCCATATATGTACTTGCATACACCTCTGATCTGTTTTCTCTCTGTGGGGACCCATTGTCCAATGCTGTTTAAATGAGCTGGTCCATCTTTGCCTCACTCCAGGTGAATTGTTTCTCTGATGATGATGGAACAAGAAATGTTGAAAAGTTAGAGGCACTTTACATCTTAAGAGGTCCTTTCTGTTCTGCTGTGCCCCTCAGGGCTCTTTGCTCAGGCTTTCACTTGACTTCTGCCTGCCTTTCTGGCCGGGTTCCTTTTTATGCCTGTTGGGGCTCTGCTACTGGACCATGAACCTGACCTTGACCCATGACCATTCCCTTGGAGCTGAGGTTTATGAAGGATTGCTACACACTGGTGGATTGGTTGCTAAAGACATTAAACAGCATTGATGGCATATGTACTGCTTAGATGAACAAATGTGATTGTTCAAGAAGCTGCCTCATGATCCCACCAAGGTCATACCCCATAGATCTTTAGATCAGTTTGAAGCGTAGGGCCACACCCCTAGGCTTTTGGAGAGCTTGCTTTCCTGTATCGTTTAGCTGAAGAATGTTCTGTTCCTCATGTGTTATTCTCTCTTGGAACTGAGTTCGGGGTTCAGACAATCTGGATTCTGCTACCTGGTGTTTTCTTTGTCCCTGACACTTAATGCTGGTCCATGGACTACACTTTATCAGCATTGCCTGGAGCTTGTTAGAAATACTCAGACCCCGCCCTAGACCTGGTACATCAGAACCTGCATTTTAACAAGATCCTCAGGTGAACTGTTTACACATTATAATTGGGGAAGTGCTGGCATAGAAGCAGGTATCTGCTTCAGTTGATGACAACCCCACCATCTAGTTCCTAACCATATTGTGGGAGGGGAAGCAATTCTTAGAGAAGAACTCATCAATCAAGAAAAAAAAAACAATTTCTAGCAAGCAAAATCATTTGAGCCATTTTTACTGGATGATCATGGTGGTCGGTTATCAGTTGACAAAATCCATCCCTGGGAAAAACAGATGCTAACATTTAGTAATGACTGGATGGTCAATGTTTTGAAACAAGAGGACACAGGATTGAGGTTTGGCAACCGTTTATGGAGTGTAATACTTGTGACTCGAGGCTACAGCATCGGCTAGACCTGGGCTTGAATCATGGCCCTGCCACTTGTTCTGTTCAAGGTCACCTCACTGGATGTGTCTGAGCCCCACTATTTTCATCTATAAAATTGTGAGAATAATTGTACCCACCTTGTTGAACTATTGAGAAGCTAAGAATTCTTGAGCACAGCGCCTGGTACTTGGTAAAGGCTCCATTTGCATTAACTTTTCTGGTCCTTGTAATTACTGTTTTCACGAGTGTGGGAAGGCTCCAGCTGAAACTATAGTAATGATAGAAGTCGGACTCTGGTTCATCTTGCTTCAGCTGGTCAAATCAACACATTTATCTTAATGTCTTTGTGAACTTCCCTGGGAATCCAAATGCATCTGAGAATTTTGATGATAGCCTTTAAAAAGAAATCTAGTACTTTAGAAACTATATTTATAGAGACAAGTGGGAACAGAATGGCATAATCTTCATGTTATTTCTCATATTTTTTCAGGATCTGCTACCTGGCAGTTAGGTTTTATGTTTATTTATTTATCCACTGTGTGTTTTTTGGATCCCTTCTCGTGGGCTAGCCACCATGCTGGTTGATGAGAAGTGAAGAGTACACACAGTTACTGCCCTTGTTGGCTTAGAGTCAGGTAGCAGGTCTGATGTTCAGGGCCAGAGACCTGCTGGACCTTTCTGAAAGGACATCGAGGGTGGGCCTCTTCCAAGGAGTGGAGTGGAAAGGGCTGTTCAGACTGCCTGTTTGACCCTTCTCACCAATCTTTGCAAGCCTGGTGAAAGGTGTCCATGTCCTGAAGCATTTGGCTGCCAAAATCTTCCTGGTGACTCCTCTCCCTGTGGCCAAGAAATCTTAGCCAGCATGCTGTCCTGATGGACGTTTGCCACCTTCCTGGTTCTGATTGAGGTAGGATGATTTTGAAGGCTAAGGTAAAATCTGGATAATTCTATAAGCAAATGGGCAAAGTCTGTGGTTGCCTACATTGTGACACCTTGCTTTCTAGTTCTCAGTCACATTTTAGTGGGGCAATAAATACACCAGGTGAGAGATTCCGTGACATACTCTTTTAGGAGCTCTGCTTCGTTACGTAAGGTATTAAGGGAAGACTGCCGCCAAGATAGTGAAGTTGTCAGTGAGGAGTAGACTCAGCTTGCTCGTTGAGGCATGCACACTCTTTGGAGCCCCATGGGCATCTCTCCAACCTCAGACAAGCAGCCACCATCTCCTTGATAGGTCTTTTATTTTTTGTTTAAGATTTTTAAAATTTATTCATGAGAGACAGAGAGAGAAGCAGAGACATAGGCAGAGGGAGAAGCAGGCTCCCTGTGGGGAGCCCAATGCAGGACTCGATCCCAGGACCCTGGGATCATGACCTGAGCTGAGGGCAAACGCTCAACCACTGAGCCACCCAGGTATCCCCTGATAGGTCTTTTAACCTTGTCCCTAAGAAGAAAACACGGTTGGGGAAAACAATAGGCAAACCTGTCAGACAAGGTAATGCCTACAGCTGAGAAATGACGGTATAATGTGACATTTAGCTTTTAGAAAATTTAAAGTATTCCAACCTTTTCAGCCCCTCTGGCCCACAGAACCAGCCAACCAGCTTTGCATTGGCTGTTATACCAGCTTTTATCGCTACACCCAGAGTATTGGTGAGCTGGTGACAATATGATGGGAGCTGGGGCTGTTGTTTGCTGAGTTGGCTGTGTAAAGATGATTAGAATCATTAACACAAATGCTCTGTGTGAATGACAGAGTCTGGAACATTATTCCACCACCAGTTTCAGCACGTGTCATCTTGTCTTGCCAGTGGCTGGGGCTGCAACCATTCACCCAGGAGAGAGGACAGTCTAGGATGATCAGGGTAGATAGCAGCAAACGGCATGTATTCAGCAGGAGACCTCTTGAATCAGTGAGCATTCTGACGAAGCTGGCTCTTTCTGCTGCTGTGGTATGGACTCAGGTGGTTACCACGGAGCCTTTGGGAATTTCCTGGAGGGCTTTCTTTCAGAGAATGCTCAGCAGATTCTCTCTCACTAGGTGAGAAACGCTTTGGGGCTTTCTCTCAAGATATTCCCCTGGGAGGGCGGAAGGGGGGGAGAGCACCCGCTGATCTCTTGGTGCATATTTTAGAGCAATTATGTAAGCTATTTATGAGAGAACCTAGATTCACAGGCTGTCTGTTTATTTTGAGACTTGACAGTAAAATTGAATATCAAAATGGAAAGATTAAATATTCTGAGAGCTCTAATGAAGCAATGCACATGCTCTGTCATGATTATTGAAGGAAAATGGGGGACCTGAACTCTCAAGTACAGCAGAAAATGTTTCACTGTCATTGAAAAAAATAGAAGAGCTATTCCAAATGGTAATTGTTCTGAAAGATTGCTTTTTAAGAGAAAGTCTCAGGCTCTAGAGCCTTGAAGAGAAACTGTTCAAATCACTGGAAGAAGATGTTACTGTTCTACTATCCACTGACACGGAGGACTCTTCTGAGTTGATGTACCATGTCAAGAACCAGGGCACTTCGAAGGTTCCCATAGCAGATGTTCTGCAGTGGAGGGACTGCCTCTCTGGGACACAGAAACCTTCCCTGAAAGATTTCTAAAGATGCCTGTGGCTGCGATGCAGGCTCACCTTTGCCAACTCACAGAGACTTACCCGGCGAACAGACTGCCAGATTACTAATTGCAACAAGAACTGAAATGTCAGCCAGTCTGGAACACATGGGTCTGCCTGCCCAGGGCGTTTGCTCCCTGTGGGCCTGGTTTTTAAGAAGCCAGATTCTACAGGAAACCACAGTTATCTGGTGCTTTCTGCGGGAGCAAGGAATGAAAACAGGAGGAGCTAGTCATTCTCACCTAGGGTCTTTCAGGTCTAACTTGAGGCCCCCTCATGCACCAGGGGGGAGGGTGTGCAGGGGAGCTGTATGTTAAGCTCAGCTAATCCCAGATGCTGCTCATGAGTGCACCCTACCTCCGGCCCCAGCAACTTCCACGGCTTTCGGTTTTCCCAGCTAACCGGACCCTTCTTGTTCATCGTCAGTCTCCAGACACACTGTGGTACAGTCAACTCTGTTTCCCATATTCTCAATCATAGTTGAGTGCCAGCCTTGAGATCGTTCTAGATCACCCAGCAGTTTTGTAGGGTCCAAACTTTTACAGGAAAGGAAGACTCGCTTGATTCCTACGACGGTTATTCCGCTGTAGGGGGATTTTGCTGGCGTAACTGTGACTGCATTCTCTTTACCACGTTCTTAGGAGGCCCTGTTCCTTCAGCCCCCAGCATCTGACAATCCCGTTTATAGAACTGTCTCAACCCGAATTTTCTTTGTTCCTAGTCATGTCCTTCAGCCTTTTGAGAACCATTACTTCTAGTTTCT